TCTCTGGAGAAAGGCTTCAACCAAGTTCAAAAGCCATTCCAGCACTTAATGGCATTCATTCGTTCAACCGTTTACTGAGCACCTACTACTAGCATGTTCCTGGCACTGTTCTAGACGCTGGGATTATGGTCATAAACAAACAGGCAAAAACTCTTGCCCTGAGAAGAAAAAAAAGTAAAATATTTGATGTCTTAGGTGACAGTAAATAAGTGCTATGGGTTGGGGGGTTTGAGAGCAGGGACTACTGGGGTGGGTAGAGGGAAGGCTGCCTGAGTGGCATTTGAACACAGAATTAAAGGTGAAGGAGCATTCCAGGCAGGGACAACAGCCAGTGCAAAGGCCCTGGGGCAGCTCGTGGCCTGTGTGCCTGGTGTGGAATGAGACTGGGAAGTAACAGGCAACAGGTCAGACAGAGATGATGAGTCTGACGCTGCCAGGTGTAGTGTAGGGTTTTAAGCAGAAGGGGGACAGGATCCCTCTGGCTGCTGGCTTGGAACTTGACTAGAAGGGTCAAGAAGGGAAGCAGGGAGAGCCATGAGGAGACAATGTTTAAATCCAGGAGTAAGCCAGTGGCTCCGGCCAGAGCGGGAGTGGGAAGGATCTGCTGCCAGGTCAGATGTGGGATGGGAGGGGAAAAGAGGAGACAAGGATGACACAGGCTTCTGGTTTGAGCCTCAGAAGATGGGGCAGTTAACTCAGATGGAGGGCTAAGAGAGGGACAGGGTAAGCTGGAGATACCCAGGTGCAGATATTAATTCCTAAAAACCGAGTCCAGGAGTAGAAAGAGATTTTTTTCATCCACCACCATGGTCCAAAGACTATGTAACCTGAGACTCTCACTAGAAAGCTGGTCCAGGCCCCTGGTTAGCCTAGGCCAGTGGTCAGCAAACTCATTAGTCAACAGAGCCAAATATCAACAGCACAACGATTGAAATTTCTTTCGAGAGCCGAAACCGGTTTGGCTCAGTGGATAGAGCATCAGCCTTCGGACTGAAGGGCCTCGGATTCGATTCCGGTCAAGGGCATGATCGATGACTCTCTCTCATGGATGTTTCTATCTCTCCCTTCCTCTCTGTAAAAAAATCAATAAAATATTTTTTTTTAAAGAAATTTCTTTTGAGAGCCAAATTTTTAAACTTAAACAGGTAGGTACACTGTTATTAACTTAATCAGGGTGCTCCTATGCTGGCCTTTGCTAAAAACTCAAGGAGCCAAAGAGCCACATGTGACTCGTGAGCCGCAGTTTGCCGACCACTGGCCTATGCCAAACAGGCCAGCTGTGGCTTCCTTCTGCAAGGCCCAAGGGCAACCAGGTCCCCTGAATTAGGCCTCGTCCTGGACTGTCCTCTCCAAGCTTCCCCGTTTCTGCCTCCAAAGCCATTTACCTGTCACACTGCCATTCCAGGCCTCAGATTCAACCTGCGTGAAGTACTCAAGGGACCCTTAAGCTCCAGAGTCCCTTTGAACTCTAACAATCCGTAAGGAAGAGAGGGGGGAAACTGGAAGGAGGGGCAGACAAAAAGGAGGAAAAGAGAGGAAAGCAAAGCAATGAAAAACCAACCAAGTATTTGGAGGATGGAGAAAATGTTGGCTTTTCATAGATTGCTGTGAGGCCGTACGGAGCTCGGAAGGCAGGAAATAGAATGACTCAAGGCCAGACCTTACCCTAAAAGGAATCTCTAACAGCTTCTAAGATATCCCCCTTTTCACACCTGTTGGCAGCTAAATCGAATATGCAGGGGCTTCCTGAGTTGAAGGATGGATGGCTCAGAGCATCTCTGTAGCAAGTAACACTAGGACCAAATATTAACTAGAGAACTGGGGTCGACCACTCACAATGACTGAGTGCCAACTGTATACCAAGCAGCAACATCCTCGGTTCGTATCAAGAATAAGCTCATTTATCCTTCGAATGACCACTATTCGCTTGGTACGATGTTATCACTCCCATGTTCCACATGAGGAAACTGAGGCATGGTGGGGGGGGGGGGCGGGGGGAACAAGCACCTCACTTAAGCTGCAGAGTCAGGATTTGAACCCAGGGCATTCAATTACTCCCTCTGAGCCATCTCACCACACTGCTTACTGATTTGTTTTTTCTACATTTTTAAAATATATTTTACTGATTTTTTTTTACAGAGTGGAAGGGAGAGGGATAAAGAGTTAGAAACATCAATGTGAGGGAAACATCGATCAGCTACCTCTTGCACACTCCCAACTGGGTATGTGCCCACAACCGAGGTACATTCCTTTGACCAGAATCGAACCTGGGTGCTCTGAGTCCACAGACCGATGCTCTACCCACTGAGCCAAACTGGTTAGGGCATGTTTGTTTTTTTTTCTACATTTTGCAATTTTTCTATACTGGCCATGCAATCTAGTAATAAAAACGAAAACAAAAAAGTTTTTTAATTAACTCTCAAGGAAAGGCCCAGTCCCATTTTCCCAACCATCATTCAAACATCAACCAAAGAGCAGTCCCTCCTACGAGCCCCACCCCACTCCAGGAACCCCCAGTGGAAAAAGGCAGCCAACAGCTGAAGTCGGCCCCTATTTTCCATTGAGATAATGAAGTTCCTCTTTTTCCAGCCCAGAGCATTTGCCTGAGTGAAGGCAGTGTGTCAGTGGAACACTCAGTGTGGGCCATTTCCATACTCTGATAAGGAACAAGGCTCTGATGAGAGTGTCACCTGGGCTGGTCACCTAGATTTCTCAACACCTGTCCTTGATCAGGGGAGGAATCAGGCCTGAGTGAATGGGTGGTGACCCAATCCCATCACCACCCTCTCCATAAAAAGTGGGTCCAAAGGAAGGACAAACAACTCAAAACACACACAACCTTCATCTTTGGAAAAAAATGACCATTGTTTAACTCTGTGCAGGGCACAGGCTGAGCCACTTTACTGATGAACTCATTTACTCTTCACAACCCTAGGAGGTGGGGACTTTCTGGCCCCTGCTCCCATTTTACAGATGAGGAAACTGAGACACAGAAAAGCAACGTGGCCTGCCCAGAGTTGCAGAGTTAGTCATCTAACAGCGGGGAGGCCAGCCGCTCCTGGCCTTGAGCATGTCGCGCTAGGAAAACACAAGCTCCCTGCTTTCTGTTACATTTGGGTTCTCCTGCTATCTGGACGTTCTTAGGCCTCTGTCTGCTCTCAAACTCCGGTACCAGATCACCCCCCCAGAGACTGGGGTATCTGTGAGTCCCGGTATCCGGAGGGAGGAGAGGCAGAGGGAAAAAGAAAGACCTGGCAGAAGGGAAGGCCAGTCACTTGGCAATTTCTGTAGCTAAACGTCCTTGCAAGGAGAAAACACCCAGCTGGTTTTCCAGATGAGCTTCTTAAACTAAATACACAGAGGGCATCCGCAAACACATGCACTTTGGAAAACCACATTAGCCATCAATCAACGATATCCTGATGCGGAATCTAACTTATAGCTGCCTATTCCACCTGCCCCACCCCTCCTCTGTCATGTAGAAAAAGAAACAAGGAAATAGTCTAGAATTCACAGCAACGCTAGATCAGATCCCCACCGGCATCCTTGCAGAAATCATTACTGCTGTCATCACTGGCACAGGGACCAAGGACTCCACAGGTTTCCCTCTGATAGATAAGAGTCCACCTTTGAAAATGGCCTGCTCTCCAATCACTCCAACACCCCAAAGGCAACGCCGTTCCCAGCCCCGACCCCACCGGCCTGAACATGGGAGGCATGCCAAGGTGTGTTTGGGTTGTTCTACCACATAATACCCCTGCCAAAAAAAAAAAAAAAAAAAAAGAAGAAAGCCTTCTCGTGACTTTTCCAACACTCCAAATGCAGCCTCCAAGAAAAGAACCACAAAACAGAACAAGAATGTACTTTTGGATGCTAATCGCCAGCTCCTAAGAGCCCAGGATGTTGATCTCTGATCCCGGTCCAAATCTGTGTATAGTTTTTACAAATAATCAAGATGGCCTGGCAGAGATGCCCTCCTGGAACAGAAGAGGAAATCACACAGAAGGAAGCTGAAGTCGGAGACACTGGGATTAAACCAGAGAGAGAGAAACCCAGCCAGGCTCAGCGCTGAACACTCAGAAGAAAACTTGAAGTTGAAGCAGGTGGAGGTCCTACCGAGAGGAGCCTGCTGTACAGGAGTGGAATGGCATGCCCACCAGTACCAGGGTCCTGGGCATCCTCAGTGGACCCCAAACCTAGCCTAGCATCCGGCCAGACATGGCAGGGGTGAGAGCCCTGCCTTCTTTCTGGCTGTTCCCCAAGTTTCCCCAATTCTTCCCTTGTTCCCCAAGACACCTCCCCACCACCAGAGTAATTAAGCCGAAAGAAAGTCAAAGATGACAAAAAGGTGTGGCCATCTGAAAGTAATGTGGATGCAAAAAAAATAAATAAAAATAAAACTGAGGTAAACCTCAACCAATCCCTAGGAAGCCTCTCCCCAGCTCAGCCCTCGGATAACGGGGCGTTCCTTGTGAAAGGGGGACCCCAACCCACCCAGAAGACGGCGGAACTTCGGAGCAGGAAGACAACCTCCTTTACTGCCCTCTGTCTCTGGCGTCCCTTCCCCAGGAGGTTATTTTTAATCGGAGAGGGTACCCCAGAGCAGGAAGGACCCCCTCCTTTCGACCCCCTGCCCCAAGCACTGCCCCTCTCCCCTATCCCCCAACCCCTAACCCCAAACCCCACCTGGGCAATATGCAAACCTCCCTCCTCTGCCCCTCCGCACGCCTGCTCCCCAGGAACTGAGTCACCCCAAGTTTCCCCCCATCAGCTAGTTGCACTCCCGGCGGGGCCGGCCGCGGGCCAGCGGGGAGCGGGACCCCGAGGCCGGCTGCAGAGCGGGGGACGCGGCGCTCAGGGCGGCAGCCGGTGCCCAGGGGCTGCGGGGCCCGACCGCCCGGGCTGGCGCTGTCTCCCGGAGCCGGCCTCCCCGCCGGCCAGCCACCTCCCTCCCTCCCTCCCGCCGCCCCACGCGGCCCCGGCGGCCGCCGAACACGTACCCAGAAGGGGTCGGAACCATCGGCGCTGCAGAAGCCGCTGAGCGCCATGCGGCCGGCGCGGGCACCGGCGGGCACCGGCGGGCGTGGGGCGGCGGGCGGCGGGCGGCTGGCGAACAGGCCCGGGTGCTGGCGGCGGCGGCGGCGGCGGCGGCGGCGGCGGCGAGGGCGGGAGGCGGCCAGGAGGGGGCCGGGGCCGCAACGCCGTCTGATTGGCCAGCGCGTCACGGGGATGCAGCGGCCCCGCCCCCCCCGGGCGCCGGGCTCCGCTCGCAGCCGCAGAGCGTGGGCCACGCGTGCAGGTCGGACCCCCGCCCCTCCGCCTCGCCCCTGGCCCCTGGGGCCCCATCACATCCCCACCCCATCCCCATTGGGCCTGGGAGGGTGTGTGCTAACCCTCAGGTGCTGCTGCTGCTGCCGGGATCTTTGCATTCAGACCTGGCGACGGGTTTTCAAATCTTACTGTAATAACGATGACCGCAGCAACTATAATAGCAAAACAGAACGCAACTGAGCCTCTGAGAGCCTGGAACTGCATTCTTATGGGATCCTCTTTTTGTGACTTCCTAGTTGTGATCCTAGAAGATCCTTATTGTGACTTCCCTTTCAGGAAAGAAGGGAAAAAGGGCAGCAAGTCAGGTTGGGCGGCTTTTCTAGAGCCACGAGGCTAACCTAGGCAGCCACCCTCCAGAGCTGACACAGAAATAGAGGAGGTGGGAACACTGATGAATCTGTGGGTGAAACCGAAGCTCGGAGAGGGGAAGTGATTTGCCCAAAGTCACACAGCTGCCAAGTGCTGGAAGTGGGATTCAAACCCATGACCAGTCTGATTCAGAGCACTCATTGTGGGAGGGCCCCCAAAAAGCTCTTGTCCCCACACGGGTGCAAAGGACTTTGGCATTTTATCCATCCTTGTTGAGCAGCACTCAGGAAGTAACCAAGCTATTGATCCTCACTTCAGAGGTAAAGAAACTGAGGCCTACACACATAGTAATAATTAATAAGCATTCACAGTCACTGTGTCCTTAGCAATGTTCTGAGGCTGTGTTCTTAACAGTGAACATGAGTTGAGTTGGGTAATGCTCTCAACAACCCCATGAGGTGAATACTTTTATTACCCCCATTTTTAAAAAATATATTTTATTGATTTTTTACAGAGAGGAAGGGAGAAGGGTAGAGAGTTAGAAACATTGATGAGAGAGAAACATTGATCAGCTGCCTCCTGCACAGCCCCCATTGGGATGTGCCCGCAACCAAGGCACATGCCCTTGACCGGAATCAAACCCAGGACCTTTCAGTCCGCAGGCTGACCCTCTATCCACTGAGCCAAACCGGTTTTGGCATATTACCCCCATTTTGTAGTTGAGATTGAGGCTCAGCAAGGCAGAGTAATTTGTCAGGGATATGTAGACAGGAAGTGGCTAAACCAGACTTTGAACCCAGGCAGACTGGTTAGGAAGGGAGGAATCTATAATGCCAATCATTCTGCCATATTGCCTCAGACCTATTTAATGCAGAGGCAGCCAGTCACAGAGGAGCTGGGGTTGGGGCCCAGGAGTCTAGGCTTTCACTGGGACACCAGCCATGCCTTTCTTCCCTCCTCTCCTCCTTAATCCCTTGACTGATGTGTAGTTTCCATCACGCACACACACGCACACACTTGCACATACACATATATGCACGCACATGCACACACACATGCGAACAGGCACGATCTTGCACACGCACACACACACACACACCATCTGCACCAACTAAAACAGGAACAGTGATTGGATTTTAGACAGCCCCCAATGGAACTAGTGAAGGAGGGAGGAATGGAGGGAAGATTATTTTCAATGATTTTTCTATTGTCCCAGAGACCCCTCAGGGTGAGTGAGTTTTTAAGGATTAATTCAGGTGGTAATATTCCATGTGCTGTTGCTTTAACATTTCTACATTCAGCACTTACGAAGCATCACATCAGGTCTTAAGAAACAAGACGAAGTTGGTGCTCCTTTGGAGCTTAAAGTGTTGGGGTTTCTTGTGGGGGTTTTAATGCCTTTTTTTATGGTAGGGGAACAGGTTAATCAAATAATCACATAAAGGAAGGGGTGCTTACGACTGTGATAAAAGCTAGGCAGAAAAGGCTGGAGGAAGAGGGCCTAAGAGAGTCCTGCCTGCGGGTGGTGGAAGTCGGGGAAGGCTTCCTGAGGAAGAAATTTTGAGTTGAGATGCAGGTGATGAGTCTGATTTCCTGAGACTTGGGTTATGTTCCAGGCTGAAGAAAACAGCTTATGGAAAAATCATGAAGCAGGACAGAGCAGATCCTTAGAGGAACCTGAAGAGAGTTGGGTGACAGGAATCTAGAGAGAGAGATTCAGAAGGGATCAGAAAAGGCCAGAGCATGCCGGATCTTGTATCCAAGGGAGGAGTTTCAGCCTGGCTCTGAGAGCGATGAAGAGGCCACTGGTGGGTTCTAAGCAGGGAGGGCATGGAGCAGGGTCAGCTTTCTTTCCATTCTTATCCCAACTCTTCATTCATTCATTCTTTTTAGTTTTTTTTATGTAATGACTGACGAGAGGGAGAGCAAGAGGTTTGTTGCTCTACTTACGTATGCATTTCATTGGTTGATTTTTGTCTGTACCTTGATGGAGGATCAAACCCACAATGTTGGTGTATTAGGATGATGCTCTAACCAACTGAGCTACCCAGCTAAGGCAATTCATTCTTTTAACAAATATAATATTAACTGAGCAAGCATATGTAGGGAGCAGCTATAGGGTTAAGCCTCAGATTGACCAGTTGGCAAAGCCACAAACAAGTCCCAGTTTAGAGGACTCAGCCCTCTTAGCAAAATTAAGCTTGACCTTATGACACTCCCTAGATCCTTCCTGAGTAGCTAATGGACTGTGGGAGATGCAGCGAATGCTGCCAAAACAAGTGAAACTCACAAGAACATTGTAACTATGGTGACCACTCCCTTGTTTCCCTCTGACTATAAAATAAAGTCTCAGCTTGCCTTCAGGATCATTTCTTTGTGGTCTCAGCTAGGCCCAGGAGATCCATCAAGACCCAGCTATTTATCTTTGTCTGTCTTTTCTTCATCCTTCACCACCCTCCCTCAAGCTCGCCAAACCCTTGGCTGTGCTGGTACGGCACAAGCATATGAAAAGGTGCTCAACAGCCGAAACCAGTTTGGCTCAGTGGATAGAGCGTCAGCCTGCGGACTGAAAGGTTTGATTCCAGTTTAAGGCATGTACCTTGGTTGCAGACATATCCCCTGTAGGGGTGTGCAGGAGGCAGCTGATGGATAATTCTCATCGATGTTTCTAACTCTCTATCTCTCTCCATTCCTCTCTGTAAAAAGTCAATAAAATACATTTTTTAAAAAGTGCTCAACATCATTCCTCGTCAGGGAAAGGCAAATAAGAACTCAGTGAAATACTATTACATGCACACCAGAACAACTGAATTGAAATGCCAAGTTTTGGCCATGATGGGGAACAACTGAAACTCTCACTTCCACTCTGTTGGTGGAAGTGTAGATTGGTTCAACCGCTTTGGAATACAGTTAGGCAATTTCTACTAAAGCTAAGCATCCAACTACACAGTGGCACAGCCATTCCAAGAGAAAGGTATGCTGGTGTCCATCAAATAACATCTACAAAAAAATGTTCACAACAGCTTTACTCAAATAGCCAAAAACTAGAAACAGCCTAATGCCCATCAGAATCAAAAGGATGAACACATTTGTGGCATAATAACACAATTGGTTAATACACAGCAATTTTTTAAAGGATCGAATTACAAACACATGAAATAATATGAGTGTATCCCACAAAAAAAGGCCACACACAAGAGTACATTTCCCATGATCCTATCTAAATGAAGTTCAAGAACAGGCAATTCTAATAGATGCTGATCAAAATCAGGATAATGGTGACTGTGAGGAGGGGTACAAGGGAGCCTGCTGTGGAGCTGGAAATATTCTATGATTTGACCTGGTGATAGTTACATGGTTTTTACACACACACACATACATACACACACATACGCACAGGCACACACTTAAAATTCATTTGGCTGGATGCTTAAGGTTGCTGTACTTTATAAAAGTTATGCCTTATATAAAAATGTTAAAATACAAAATAAACTAATTAAGTAAAAATATTTATTGGGGCTGACCATGTGCCAGACACTCTATTAGGTGCTGTAGATCCAGCAGTGGACAAAACAAAGATCACTGCCCCTGTGAGAAGGAAGCAGAGAGCAGACCAAACAAATGAGAACACCTTTTTCCAGGAGAGGAAACAGAGGCTTAGAGGAATGAGGTAACGTGTTCAGGATCCCACAGGTGGGATGTGGCAGAGACCAGGCCTAGCCCTGCCCTTAACCACCAAGCCCTCCCTGAAGCTCCTCTTTCAGCCACAGGCTCTAAGGCCCTCTCTTCCCCTGCTCTCCCAGCCCCTTCTTCCCCATCTTCAGCTCTAGTACAATAACGGACACCCTCTGACCAAGTGGCTCTGGGTCCTGGGCCAAACCCACCCAAAGGACAACAGACACAATAACTGGAGATGAAGATATAGGATGTGGATTTCAAGCATCAGCAGCCTCGGGAGACTATTGAGTAAATCACAGAGATGAGAATGCCAGAGAGATCCTTTTCATTCTTTCCTGGAACCATAGCATGCTGTTCGTGTTCACTTTTTTATTTTGCAGCATTTATCACTATTTGTCACCATTTAATTATTTATTTGCTCTCTATAGCCTCCCCTTCCTTCCCTCCCTCCCTACCTCCCCCCGCCCCCCCAGCTAAACTGGAAGCTTCCAGCTGCTGCTGTCTCACCTGGGCAGCATCCTCCCTAGTCTTCCTATCTCTGTCCCTCCCCGCTGGAATTAGAGCAATCATAGCAGCCAGAGGGGTCCTATTAAGGGAGCTCTTAGCCTTTGCAACCGAGTGGATGGACCTGGAGATTATTATGCTAAGCAAAATAAGGCAAAGAAAGACAAATACCATAGTTTTCACTTACAGGTGGAATCAACTGAACAAAATAAACTGATGAACAAAG